TGAACTGAATCCAATTCCCTCCATCCTTGCACATCAACAAGGCTGAAAATGCAAAATCTGCCTCGTTTATAATCAGAACCGTGACTCAGAGCTGACAAACGGTGCTTATGAGAATGCACTACAATCTGCTAGCTATGAAATATTTTATTAGTATTGTGGTAACATTGGCAGAGTGTCACCCTACCATGCTTAACTTCAGAGGATTGTAGTAACTCATGCTTGTTTTCTAGGCCAAGCTTATTATTTTTCACTAAAAAATGCTGGTGATATGGAAAAATCATTTGAGGACAGTTGTACATTTCAGATTAAATATTTCCCATGCATTTGTCTAACATTACTTAACCATCTGCATCCCAGCCTCGGTCGTCTGAAATAGTATCCGCTTGTCATTTGCCATGGTTCTGTGATCTGACTGCTTCATCAGATGATTTTTCTGCTCAGTTGGAGGTGAGGTCACTCATGCGGTTACATTTAGCTCTGAGCTCTGCTCAGGATGGAATGTCAGGGTGACCTCTCTTTCTCCAGGGTATCTCTCCACTTGGCCTCTTGTCTTTCAGTAGTCTAACCACACCTTTCTTTTAGCACAGCAGGTGGTTTCCAAGAGGTCAGCTGCCATATATAGAGCTTCTGAAGGCTCTGCTGGTTTCACGCATGCTAATCATTTAGAGCAGACTACATAGCCAAGCTGGAAGGGGTATGAGATACTACTGCAAAAAGACTCGAACCCTGATGAGTTCATGCAATCTACAAGTATGATTGACTGCTCATCTCCATGATGAATGTTAGTGGGGAAAAGTCCTGAATTTGAGTTGTGCAGAAGAGGTATAATCATAACAAGTTATAATAATTATAACTTGAACCAGAGCATGTTGTCTGAGTAATGTCACAAAAATCATAATAATGAATGACCGTGATTTCATCTCATAGAGGACGAGAAATAAAGGCATAAGGAAGTAGTACTTAAATGTGAACAAAGGACTTCATTTTCTGTCAGGGTTTTAGTAAAGAAAGTGCATCTCCATATGGTAATGTAGTAGAGTATTTGTGTGTGTGTGTGTGGGGGTTGGTGGAGATTTAACCGAGAGGTGTTGCACGTGTTTAGTATGTTTTATGCCGTTGAGCTACATGCCAAACTACTGCTTACTTTCTTTTGACAAAACTGCTAAATGTGTGTTTTTACATGATGTGCCTACGAAGTACCCTTGACGGGTTTTCTATTTACACTAGAGTTCTCTCTCTTCCTCACTTTCTCTCCACCAAAATAAATATCCGAGTCATGGAACAATATTGTTTTCATAATCTGAAGCATACAAGTAACACCGTTTTAAGAATTATAGAATGATAAGCCAAAGGCAAATATGGCTTCACTAGCCCTGTGTCTAACGTGTCTTCTCTAAATCTTTATACTGCATGTCAACGCATTTTAAACTGAAGCTCAAAATGGTTTTCTCTTTTTGTGGAAAATATTCTTCACTTAGCACCACCTTTATTTCTCTAGTCATTGTACTGTTTTTCTTTCTTTCTTTTTTGCTGTTCCTTTAAACAGCGTCACACACTGACCTTTTAATTTGCTGCAAGATAGTGAGGAGTTTGCTGACACACAAACACACACAACTGCACAAACACATAAGTACACACACACACACACATATATATAGTCACATAATCATTATACATTTTGGATATAAATATATGCACTTCAATATAGATACACAAACATATCTAAATACATATAGGTATGCACATACACATGTAAACATAAATATCTACATGTACACACATAAATACATGCACACAGAAATGCACAAATACACATACCCCACATACATACAAATACATACATACACACTAACACAGACAAACACATATGAAAGCAATATACATATATACATTCATGTGCATGCATACATACAGCCCCCCCCACACACATACACACACACACACACACACACACACACACACGTACACATACACACACACGTACACACCACTCACACCACTCCTCCCCACACGCACGTCATTTCTCATTTGATTATATCTATCTATATGAGTAAGTCCACAAAGTACATTGAGTTTGGGCCTAGCTTGGCCACATGCTAACTGTAAATGGATATTACCTTAATGTCTCCAATACTGTGCACATTCATTATAAAAATCCATCACATTTAAAGTCATGATCCTCATGCACATTGAATAAAATAACTCTTAAGAAAATCATTTGAATTGTGCCTGACATATTAAGAATTACAATTATATTTTATCTTTTGCTCCTTTAATGCAATTGAATATTAAAATTAGTAACAAATTTTAATCATATTAAAATTTCTTTTTTCTCAGATAATACAAGGACATGGTCTGTTATAGTCCCTTCTATTGCTTAGCTGGAATTGCATTGAAATTATACAACAACATAGGGCAGGAAGAGGAAATAGTAATGCCACTCTGAATGCAAACCATCAAATTTATGCATAGAGAGAGCAAGTAAATTAGACCATGAAAAGTATTTTAGCTTCAGTAGCATTTTCTTCAAGACCTACCATTAAAGTTGCAGAACTTAAATTTTTATTCTCAGCCATCACAATATTGTTTTGCTTTATGAAAATTTATCTATTTATTCTTAAACTTGATGTTACTTTGGAGAAAAATGTCAAAAAGCACTGATGTATTTTAATCTGTTTTCTCAAATGCCTTTCTCGTTATCTTTAAATTTTCTCTCTTAAAAACACACAATTTAATTGTGTACACCCATATGTGCAGCTTATGGTAGCTGCAGAGCAGTTGATACAAGATTGTGGTACGATCTGGTTCAGCTCATAGCTGCCATCCTGCTTTGAGAGCCTGCCTGGCAGTCGAGCTCAGGCTAACAGCTGTGTGAACAGAATGCAATGCAATTCCTCTAGTTTGAAAATGAATTAACTGTTATTTATAGGGAATAATTGATGTAACATTTTATATGGGTAAACACATTTTCAATCCTTAAGAATATGTTAAGTTTTTTTTTAAGGATGGAAGATGAGGAATACTCTCAGCTGACCACCAAAGCTTGCTGAGAACCTGTTTATGTCTGGCTATAAAATCGTCATGCAGACTGTGCAGAGAGATCAAGTCTAAGGTGAAGCCAAAGAGTTAAAAATTAGAGAAGAAAACCATACCACCTTCACAACTGTAAACATGTGAACACACCCACTAGGATAATCACACAGTTCTGTTTAGAATGGAAAATAATGATGAACATATGTGCTTCTGTCTTTCTAATTTCTTATTTCAAAAGCAGAGTGGAAGGAGATTAGGAAGGACATAAAAAAGGAAGGAGGGTTATATGCACAAGTTAATCCTAGAAGAGACAAGGATGATTTGTCTGTCCTAAGAGTAAGGCCACTGATTAGTATTAAATGCCAAACGTGATACTTTGGACGTATGTGATGTGAAGCACTGAACTTGGACAACTGGTTTGTCTTGATCCACCATCACATGCTTTCTGGATAAATGCTTTGTTATTATAGATTTGATAATATGACTTTGAACTACTTGTGTGATCTGGTCACTTCTGAATAAGGATCATTTACAATAAATAGATTACCACTAAGATAGTAGTGAATCGTACTACGAAAATAGTTTTCCTGATGTCATTAGAAGCTACAACTGAAATAATAGTCTCTGATTAGTTTTTCAATCATCTGGACTTTGAAGAACTCACCTCCACTTGGAGCTTATTTCTGAAACCAGAGAAAATGGTGGTCTGCTGATGTGCAGTTTTTTTTTTTTCTTTTTTGGTTTTTCGAGACAGGACTTCTCTCTGTATCTTTGGAGCCTATCCTGGCACTTGCTCTGGAGACCAGGCTGGCCTTGAACTCACATAGATCTGCCTGTCTCTGCCTCCTGAGTGCTGGGATTAAAGGCGAGTGCAACCAACACCCAGCGATGTGCAGGGTTTGAATCACAGAAATTCTATTTTATATCCCAAAGTTATAAAGATATTTTAAAGTATCCATATCATTAATTCAATTTGTTTAAACACCATATGTGTAGGTATCTCTGGTACTGTGTCTTTTAAGGAAACAAAGTTAGTGGCCATGGGCTGTCCTCTTTCATTGTGCTGAATAGTCATGGACAGAACATGCAGTATCAAATTAGGCTCTTCCTTTTCTTTAGCAGGGGACAAGGGCATCTTTGATTCTAGAAAATTGAACAACACTCTTCAAACAATGAAAATCAAAGGAAAATCACTTTCAAATCTGTTATTTTAGACATATAGGTACAATGAGATTTGGTGACAATTTTCCTCCCAGATCCTGATATGACTTTGTGAAAGACAGGGCACTGTGTGCTGGTTTTCTGGGTGAGATGCAGGGATTTAGGAGTGTGCTTCCTACTTCATAATACTGACGAGAAGTAGGCTCTATATTCTGAAGAAGGGGAAGGGCTTCAATTTAGCTGCATCCCAGGATTCAAGAGTGATGACAAACTGCTAAGACAGGGAGAACACCACACTGTGTCGATTACTTTACCATGCACTGAAGAGTGAAATGTGTTGAGGTCTGAGACTGAATTCAGGAGCCAAATGTGTTACCTACATTTTAGACTTCATTGCCATGTTAAAGACTAGGGGAAATCCACATTTTTACAAATAATCAGTAACTTAATGTTGAAAAAAAGTTTCTCTTCTTCTACCTCGAAGGTTTCTAGAAAGGGATCAGTACATTATATAGCATCTACCTGGCAATATATAGATTATCTTTCTTTTATTTTCTCATTTAAACTCCAGCAATTTAGAACATATACTAATTTCATTAACACTTAAGTAATTTTCTTAAGCTCAGGTAGATCAGAACCAAAGCCCAGATCAGGGTCTTTCTCCACTCAGGCCTTGAGGTGAATTATACTGATATATCAAAAGTTTGAAATAAGGGGAAGATCTCATCATAGGACTTGTCTTTCTGAAGACAATTGCAACAAGTCTACAGAACTAATACAAACTTTCTTCTCTTTCTTTTCTTCAGTGAGACTTCATGACAGTATATCGGAAGAGGGCTTCCATTACTTGGTGTTTGACTTGTAAGTACCTGCTTTATGGGTCATTTATTTTTGCTATATAATTGAAAACTATTTTAATTCCAGCATTATATTTCTCATTGCATAGTCTTAACTAAGGACTACTGTGATATTTTAAGTGATTTTCCACTCTAATTTTTTTAAAAAGAGAGACAGTACAGCACTGTGTTGTTCACATTTTGAATTGTTCTGAGTGTGTTCCACTTTGCACTATCCATGGGAATGTTTTACAAAAATGGCTGACATGTGCAAAGGTTTCTACTGAATTGTCTAAAAGCTTCTATGTTATGGTAACTCTACCCACAAGCCTGGTCCCAGTGCTGCATCAGCCCCAAATAATATAAAGAGACTCTATTAGTTATAATGCTGTTGGCCAGTGACTAGGATTTCTTATAGGCTAGCTCTGTCTTAAGTATTAACCCATCACTGCTAATATATGTATTTTTACATGGTCTTATCTTACCGAGAAGGCCAGACTCATGTGTCCTCTCCTCCTGGGGTCACACGGCAACTTCTTCCTTACTACACGTCCCAGAATACCCTTTGTCTCCTGCTCCCACCTATCTTGATTCCCTCTTGGCCAACAGTGTTATATTCATCAACCAATAAGAGAAACATATGTATAGAAGACTTCTTCCATCACTTCTGAAATGTATTTTCTATAAAAGAAGAATCCAGAGAAATAACCCTGGTATTCAAGATTCATTTAAGCTAATCAGAATTTAAATCTTGTTGATTTAAATCAACAAGAGTGAAGGGGAGATATGGACTCCTAGAAGGCATATAGCCAAACAGTTCACAGGCATGACTGGCAGGAGCTGAATAGGGATACACTTACTTGAAATCATCTTGATGCTAATTATTTAAGAGATTAAAAAAATAGCTATCATTTCACAATAATTTGACTTCTTGGAATAAGTCCACAGGAACTATCCAGGTAAAGTTTTATGCCCAGAAATATTCACTGTGTCATGCTTATATGTGTGTGAGAAGAGAAAACAAGTTAGCAATTCAACCATAAGATAGAATTTTATAATTATAGTACACTCTTTTAATGAATATTCTCTAGCATTGTATTGTGCTGGTCACAATGCATTTGAAAGTACACAACAATAACAAAACATATTTCATATTGATATCAAGGTAGCTTAGTAATAGGTTTAGTTAAGTCATATTTTAGTGGTATGAAACCATCCTTCTGTTTGGTTTCTTTAATGTGTGAGTTTGTCTTCATCTTAAGCTCTACCTGTCCTCCAAATTGATTGCTTTATTTTCAGTTGTCAGACTGACTTCCAAAGGAAGCAAAAAGAAATAGTGGTGTTTTCAAAAGTGTTTTATCCATTGAGCAAAGCTTTCCCAGGATGAGAATGACTCCCCTGGATCTTATGATATAGGCTAGCACAGAAACACAGTTAATTATTATCATGATAAAAGGGAAGGCTAGAGCATGGATAGGCAGCCATGCACATCCATCTGCCATACTGTGGTCTGTGTATATCTGGGAAAATAGTATCCAAAACCTGCTTAGACATGGGTCTAGAGTATAGGTTTGTCCCCATCGGCACAGCCCATCCCTTGGTGTCCTCATACTGCCCATGTCATCCTTTAACCAATGCGTCTTCTCAGAGCTTTCACTCTTCTTACCTTTTCAATTGTTCATTCTGGCATCCTGTTTCCTCATGGACCTAAAGCCCTTCTTTATGGTTTTCTTTCTGCACTTTCTTTAGTCATTTTTTTGTTTGTTTGATTTTGATGTGGTATAGATATGGAGATTTTGCTCTCTGTGCCTCCTGAGTATTGCATTACAAAGATGCACCAGAACACTTTCCCCTTCAGTATTCTTTGAGGACAGCATGCTAGCAAGAAATTCTTAGTTTTCTCTTTCCAGTTTCTCCATTGTTTCTTTGATTGTTCATCCTTTTTCCTTCCCTCCCTCCTTCCGCCCTCTCGCTCTCTCTTCTGTACTGTGAATTAAGTGCTAGGCAAACATGCTCCACCCCCAGCCATGTTTCTTCATTGATGTGTCACTTCCTACCTCTATACATTACTAAGAAAAAAATCCATCATTCCAATAATCATTTCCCTAAAGGTAGTATTATTTCTCCCTGATTGTTTTCAAGATTTTCCTTTTATCTTGTTTTCAGAAATTTGATTCTAATGTGGTTAGGCTTGCACTTCTTAGTTTCTCTTATTTATGGTTGGTTTTGTCTTTTGAAAAATGTTGGTTTATGTATGCCAGATTTGCACATTTTTAGACATTTTTGAATACTTTCAACGTTGCTTTCTTTCTCATTTGCTTTGAAGCAGTGATGACATTATGAATTCTGTTGTTGCTCTTATACTCCCATTGGTTTCAGAGGCTGTGTCCTGTCCCAGTTTTGTTTGCAGGCTGTTTGTACACTTGAGTAATTTGCTTTGTTCTGTTCTCCAATTTGGGGTTGATTTTTGGCAATCTTTGTTTTGTTTTTTTCTTTCTGTTTTTGAGCTTATCAATTTAGTCTTTAAATGTTGCAGTTATTCTGTATTTTAGTTCTATGATTTGTTGTTGGGTTTTCTGTATATCCTTTGTTTTTCTTCAGAGGCCTCCTGTTCTTACTTATCCCAAGTATGTTCTTGTTTGGTCACTAATGTGCTTTTTTATTTGGCAAACTGAGAGTCCCTGTCATGTAATTGTCAGCATTGTAGTCTTGGTGTTGCTGTCTAGTGATGCTTTCTGAATCAAATCGAGCTTTTCTGATTCTTGATGTGATTTATATCTGAGATTGTATTCTCATTTTGTATTATTATATCAAACTTTGCATTGAGTTAAATCTGTTTAGTAGTCCTTCTCTAATACTGCATCAGCAGGAATAGGAGGAAGTGTAGGCAATGGCGGGCACCTACAGATCCCTGCTGAGGCTCTGCTGATACCCCATTGGGATGGTTCTTTGCTATTGGGCAGGGATTGTGCCACAGTAGCAACAGAATGGGGTGAGGCTTTATTTAATAGGAGAAATGCATCTATTTTGCTTTTTGTCCCCTCAGTATGAGATGTATTGCTATTTCTACATGATATCATTATTCAATAAGCTTAGTTAAAAGACATGACACAGGGGTTTTCCTGTACATATCTAGGTACTGATATCTGTACTATATATTTTATAGGCTTTCTTATAATTCCTTATTAAATTAAAGAGGTAATAAGTATCTATTGTTTTTCATAATTCATTCCATAATTCAGAAAAATAATTGACAAAGAACATAAAAAACAGTTCACATTAAAACAAAATGCAATTTACAGTTATATGTTGTCATGAGAAACATTTTTCCATTTATATAACTTAGTTCATTGGGTAGGAACTCTTAGTTTCATAGTGGGGATGTTTATCTGTGTTGTCACTGCCTCAGGACCTGAGGATGAACACTTAGGTATGGGGAAGAATAGTTTAACACATGCTGAATCAGGCAACTCAACCTCTGAGTACAGGTGCTTTAAAATCATTCCTATTATTTAAAGTATGTGATGTGAATTATCACTAGCTACCATCAAATTGTTTTGTCAGTAAATGAGATTAGTAAATGAGGCTTAAATACAGTCCAGTAATATATCCAGTTTTAGAGATTTGAAATAGAATGGTTGAAAATATAGATTTTCCTCAACTGACTAGAAAGGAAACATAACAAAATATAGATATGAAATAGCTTCAGAATATGTGATTATTTTAGAAATCAACAAAGAGGAAAAAAGGAGCATCTTTGGAAGAGTATACATTTTCAACATAATAGAAATGTCTGGCCTTAAAGCTATCAGTGGGATATAGTGGAGAAATTTGAGGACACATAGTCAGTTGCAGGATAAATAAATTCTTGAACTCCCATTGAAGGAAGGTGTCTTGTGTTCCTTTCTATCTTCTGGGGCTGTTTTGACAGTGTGTTTCTTGTGAATGGTTTCTTTAGAATGACAGTCACCAGACTCTAAGAGAGAGTTCTGGGTTTATTGGTTCATTTTTTCAATGAAAGATTTCACATTATAAAAAGCAAGGGTTGGAAGGAGTTCTATGAGGAAAAGGGTTTTTTTCCAGCTATTTTAAATACAGGGATCTCACTACCATTTCTATTTGCAGAACATTGATAGTCTCCTTTACATATAGACTAGGGAATCAGTGAGAAAATCCTCCTGAACCTGAAAGCTTATATGTCTTCACAGTTCTGTTGATTTGCCCTGAGTTTCTAAAATCATCTTTCATCATGGCTAATACCCCAATACAACCATGATATTCCAGGATCATGTTAACAACTCGGAAGGCAGAAAGGGCCAAGGTGATAGACATGGATTTATCTGACAGCTAACAGAAGAAAATAAAGAAATTGATCTAGAAGAGAGTCTCTAAGAGAGAGGCCTGCAGGCAGAGATGTTAGCCTTTGATAGAGCATTGAGTCCTTCTGTTTCTACACCCAGTCATAAACAATGATTATGATTAAATGTAATTAAGAAAACTACAGTCTTAAAGACACAAGAACTACTGTGGGATATTGGAAACCACTTGGGCAGTTGCTTCCAACATTAAACAATCAAACACAAAAAGAATTCCTAAAGAGAGAATATGCCTTGTATGCCTCCTTTGATCCACTCTTCAAGGCCACTTGACTACCTGATTATTAACATAATAAATTACATAATTAGTTCATTGGTTGGAGTCTTATAAATTCACTAACAGAAGACAGTTGAAGGACTTAAAAAAGCAAAATGAATTTTGTGAACATGTATATTACATTCTGAGAGATGAATATTTCGAACTGTAAACAGTATGCTAGTAAGGTCTGTTAAGTAGATTCTTCATGTGTAGACTTAAACTGATAAAACTTGAGGAGTAACCCTTGTGTTGCTGGGAGAGACATCAAGGTGGACAATGTCACAAATTTATGCCTTACACCTGGGCCAATGGGAAGAAAGTAGCATTTCTTCTCAGTTGCCTTCAATTCAAATGAATTGACAGTATTCAGAATACAGTTAAAATGTTATT